TCAAGGCAACTTATATATAAAAATAAGAACCATTGAAAACATAGGAAAAGCAATCATTTAAAACTTGAATTAAATTGAATTGAACATTGATAGAATTAAAGCAGGCATAGGCAAACTCAGCCCTCCAGATGTTTTGGGACTACAACTCCCATCATCCCTAGCTAACAGGACCAGTGGTCAGGGATGATGGGAGCTGCAGTCCCAAAACATCTGGAAGGCCGAGTTTGCCTATGCCTGAATTAAAGCAACCGGTGTAATTTTTTCAGAATCAGTGCAGTGTGATTCCATCTGGCTGCATAAGTTAATGTTCTTGCAGCCACATTCTGCGCTAATTGAAGCTTCTGGGTAGTCTTCAAGGGCAACCCCATGTACAGTAAATTACAGTAATGCAAATGCGAGGTTACCAGAGCATGGGTCACTGCAGGTAGGCTACCTCTGTACATGAATGGTCAAAGCAAGGAACCAGAAAGATCGAAAAAGGCATGTCACACAACCAAGACTACATGAGCCTCTAGAGGCAATGCTGGATTGATGAGTACCCCTCCTTCCCCTGGTGTATCTGCTCCTTCAAGGGAAGTACAATCCCATCCAGGACCGGCTGTACACCTAATTCCTTGACACAAGAATCATTTACCCATAATGCCTATTCTCACCCACTTCCTTCAAGGCTTGTTCTATGATTAAATGGCTGTCACCTGGTAGCAGAAATCTTCAATGATTTATCACATTGGTTTTAACTGAGCATTTGAATCAATTACATCTGCATAAATGCACACGCGTATAATAAAGCAATATGGCATGGGGTGGGGAGAGATAACCCGCATCCTTGCCCCATGTTCCCCAACTGTGGCTATTTGAACATCTTTTATTAAAAAAGTAAAGCTTTATAAATGCAATCACACAATTAATGTCTTATTTAGCTTCATTCTACATGAGAAGAGATGGCTCTTCAAAGGTGACACTTATCTGCATTGTTTTATACATGCTTGTCTAAAAGTGTTTTTTCCCCAATTCTGTCTTTTCAAAGCAATCACAATGTTTTATATGGATTAATGTAACCAATTAATCAACTAAGAGTTGTATTCAAGGCTAGTCCGACTCAGAATAAACCCACTGAAATGAATAAACCTAAATTTGTCATGTCTGTTAACTTTAATGGGTGGGTCTACTCTGAGAAGGACTAGTATTCCATCCTAAAACTGTGAACTTGTACAGTACTCACTTACTTGAGAGAATGCACCATTGCACTCAGTGGGTTTTACTTCTGAGTACAGAATTGCACCCTAAAAACTGGTGAAATTAGCAGTTTTGCTAATCGTCAATATGTCTGGGTTTTTCAGCAGAACCAGGAAGTGTCCAGACAACTTTTGTGACCAGATTTTTTACTTCTTGAAATATGGCAACCCTACCCCGCCACCCACACTTACATTTCTGAACCTAAATAGAGCAGCACTGCCATCTGGTGTTGGTCCATGTTACAACCTTAGAAAGAGCTGTCCAAAAACCTATGGCAAATTGCTTAGCAAATAATTTTTCAAGCAGACTTAGATTTAATAGGACAGACCTCACATTTACATCATGGGGGCAATCTATAAGGTGTGATTTGTAGCTGGGATGGGTCAGGCATGGAGAAGCTGAGATAGAAAAAGCTAGATGGAAACCGGCAATATTCCCTTTTGGAGGAATAGCAGGAAGAGGCATTTACTGTACATCAGGGGTGGACAGTCTTCAAGGCCACAAGATCTACTTAGGCTTTGTAACCAGAGCCAGATGCAAAACAGTAATTTAGTCAGGAAGACATATACCAGGAATTACTGTAAGGAACAGGATGTCTGAGCACCTGCTCAGTTCAGTGATTAGCACGAGAATCAAGCTCAGAAGCCCTTTCCACACACCACTGGTTTTCCCTCAAGCATCCTTTTTCAGCCACCCGATTTAAGGGAGAAAAGCTTTTTGTTGCTGTTGTTAGATCATTGGGAGTCGGAAATGCTTGCAGACCTATAGACTCATCCATAGATCTCTTAGTAGGTCTCAGTCTACCTTTTGCCTATCCTTCCTTTGCATTAGTCCAAACAAGATATACTGAAGAGTGGCTGGCCACCGAAAAAAACAGCCCCATGAAGACAGAAACTATTATAGGGGATGAAGGCCAAGCCAGTGTGGTGTAGTGGTTAAGAGCGGTAGTCACGTAATCTGGGGAACCGGGTTCGTGTCCCCGCTCCTCCACATGCAGCTGCTGGGTGACCTTGGGCCAGTCACACTTCTTTGAAGTCTCTCAGCCCCACTCACCTCACAGAGTGTTTGTTGTGGGGGAGGAAGGGAAAGGAGATTGTTAGCTGCTTTGAGACTCCTGAAGGGGAGTGAAAGGCGGGGTATCAAATCCAAACTCTTCTTCTTTTCTTCTGAACTTCATGACCAAGTGGGGAATCCGAACCCTATAACAATTGATTCTTTGTTATATAGGAATACTGGTATTCCCAATTTTGTGTCAAGTTCACCCTCATGGCAGCTATTGTGTAGCCAGCAACATCCCCTTGTGGCAGCCATTTTGTGACTGTAGCATCACATATGTGGAATAGAACTGTTATCATGGGGAGTCAGACTGATGTCTGGAATTAGCCTTTTAATGCCCCAACATAAGGCCTAACAGACCTGGACCTGGAATTGCTTTCTATTTGTAACCATTCTATTGGGCTGTTTTTGTTTTTATTACCGTATTTTTCACCCTATAGGATGCACCTAGATTTTGGGGGGGGGGAAATAAAGGGGGAAAATATTTTTTTCCCCAGGCGCGGGGCTGGGGGCGGGGGAAGCCCGCCGCCAGCCTCCAAACCAGATTGGGAGACAGCGGGATGGCACGCTGCGCCTCCCCGCTGTTCCCCGAGCTTGCGGGGCTGGCAGCAGGGAGAAGCACGCTTCTCCCCGCTGCCAGCCTCCAAACCAGGTCGGGGGACAGCGGGATGGCGGCGTTCCGCCTCCCCGCTGTCCCCCGAGCTTGTGGGGCTGGCGGTGGGGCTCTCCTGAAGCCTGATTTTACGTTGTAACCACACTGAGATCTGCGGGTATAGGGTGGTATACGAATTTAATTAATTAATTCATTATTAATAACCATGCAAGAGTTATTCTGAATCTCTCTAGGTAACACGTATGCAGTAGTAACTAGCAGAATGTCACATGGCAGGTAAAGTATGGGAAGCAATACACTAATGGGGAGGATCAAAACTGGTTAACTGTTACAAATAAGCTGAGAGAATTTCTCAAACGGCTGCTTTTCGTTTCAAGGCCACAAGAACAGCAATTGTTTGATATCTGCTTTAATACTCCCTCTCCCAGAAATGCATAAGGAATGTTACAGCCAGTGACATATAGCTCACATCTGTATGATTGATACACCCATTCGACTTGTCAGCACAGTTCAACACTATGTAAGAGGCAGACAGTTCACCAAACCAGCTTAGACCCTGACACTCAAACAAGGAAACCAGAGCTAACAGAGATGTTGCACCCTGGCTATAAGAAGCCATATCCATTGCCGTCCAAGAGTCTTAACTACAGGGAAAAAAGCAGTAGGTTCCTGCCTGGTAGCCTGATGCTTTAGTGTGCTTAAACTCTTCACCCAGTAACAGAGGCTGCACTCTTAAGCTTTATTTAGTTTTGCTGGGCTTCCTTTAGGCTTTAATACGTTTTATGCAGGCTAGTCCTGTGCATTATGTGTTCTGTAGGCCGTGCGCCTTGCTGTGCTTTATTCTTGCTGTACATGAATAAAACCAGTAAGTCTTCACCCAAAAGTGTGCCTATAGTCTCTGAATCCACAAAGCACAGCTGCCCTTGTAGAACAGGTGCCCACAGCATTCTCTCAAAATTCTAGTGTGCCCCTGGAACCATAAAGGTTGGCAAAACACAGGCTCCTACATGGGTTGGGGGACTGTTAGACAGCTGCGTCTGAGCAACAAACCTCCGCTTTGACTGGCCCTAAAAAACCCCAACCCATTCCAGAGCTGGCTGAGAATGATCTCCCTCGACAGACATCAGCAGCATCTCCTTAGCACGCATGTGAACACCATGAGACCTGCTCTGCTCCAGAGGAAGAAGTGAGGGGAGAGACTTTCTACAGCCAATGGCTTTTCCACCTGCCCCGCCCCACCCTCCAGTCCCAGACCATGACTTTGAGAACAGCAGAAGCAGCTGGTAACAGAGTTCAGGAATATTTTTTCAAAAGTTGTGGTGTCCTTGTTTCTAATTTGATCCTTTTACATGGTTTTGTATCTTTGGGGTATTTGTGATTTGCTGTTATTTTTATTGGTTATGTTGTTGTTTAGTCGTTTAGTCGTGTCCGACTCTTCGTGACCCCATGGACCAGAGCACGCTAGGCACTTGTCTTCCACTGCCTCCTGCAGTTTATTGGTTATAGATTAGCAATTATTTATTGTAATAATGGTAAACTGTTTAATTATTTTTGCTGATGTCTAATTTTACTGTTTACTATTAGATTCTGATGTATTGTTGAATGTTGCTTTATTTGATAGAAGTTGCTTATTTTAAAGTTATTGTGATTTTTTATATTGGATCAGATTGTTACTATTAATGTTTGATGTATTTATTATTATTATTATTATTATTATTATTATTATTATTATTATTATTATTATTATTATTGGTGTTGGAAGCCGCCCACAGTGGCTAGGACAACCTAGCCAGATGGGTGGGGTATAAATAAATATTATTCTAGCATTGCAGAGGGTTGACTAGATGCCCCTTCGGGTCCCTTCTCTACGATTCGCTCTTGGTCACATGCTCAGTCCATACAAGGATCTCAGCAATTCTGACGACTAGCTGAGGAGCCCATGCTTAAGAGCCATCTCAGCCACCGGCTTGCCGCTGCTTGCTTACTTTGGCTTCAGATGCTTGCCGGGAAACAAAAGCCCGAGGAGCGTCGTTCCCCGCGCGGAGAAGCGAGAGAACGGCAGTCCGCCTGCCAGCGTTTCGTCGCGCCGGAAATGACGCCCCGCTCGAGCGGAAGCCGGAAACGTTGGCCGCGGCTGGCGGAGGCGGAGGGGCGTGGGAGGCGTACGCCGTTTGCGGTCTCTTCCTTCCCCTCCGCCGGAGCGCCGTGAGGTGAGGAGGGCGCCCATGACGACCTGGGTCCTTCCCGGAGCGTAGCCGGCGTGGCGACTGAGGGGGAAGCGAAGGGAGCCGGCAAGCCAGTTCTCGCTGGGGTCCTCCTCCTCGGGCGACCGGGTGAGTGGCACGCGGGCGGGGGGACCCTCTGATATCCCCTGAGCCTCGGGGTGGCTTCGGGTGTCCAGGCGAGCTGGGGCCCAGCTACTCGCGCTCCTTTGAGCCCCGAAGTCGCCCTGCAGGTGAGAGCCATTCGAGGTGGTTTCCTAGCGACGCCTTGCCTCCTCACCTGTGGCCGAAGAATCAGAGAACTGTAGAGCTGGAAGGGACCCCGGGAGTCATCGAGTCCAACCCCCTGCAATGCAGGAATCTCAAGTAATCCGTGACAGGTGCCCATCTAACCTCTGCTTATAAGCCTCCAAGGAAGGAGAATTCGCCAACATTCCACTGACAGCACAGCACCCACTCTTTAGGTTTTTTTTTTTACTCTCAGTTCCTTTCTCATTGCCAAGGTTTCAGACACACACACCTCTGGCAGATTAAGTGCTACTTTCACAGTAACAAGAAGCATGGGAATAAATGGAGCCTGATGACACACGTGTGTGTGGGTCTGTCCTGCCCCCTCCCCCCGTGTTGGAAATTCACTGAATCTAAGTGGCTTGTGGGTGTGCCTGTAGGAGAAGAGGAGCATCGATGCCCACATGCAAAAGGAAGCTGTAGTGTTCATACCAACTTAGGTGTCCCAACACCTGATCAACAGTGTCAGCTTTACTGGTGCCAGTTAGCATGCTTGATTCATATCAAAAGTAATCTTTTACTCTCAGGGAATTCAATCTCTTATCTGCTCCCCAGCTGTCATCAATGACTGTGTGGGATAAGGCGATAGTACTAAGCCTAGTTTTCTGCCGCTTCTTGATCCAGGCTTGAAAGCAATATAAAGGTCCTTAATTTCTGAATGTAGCTGTCCAGTGCTGGAAATTCTAGGTTTTTACCAGTCTAGATGTGAATGTGCACAGAGAAGATAGCTTTATTTGCCTCACTTTCATGGGATCTGCAGAGAATATTTAACCATCTGCTGTTATTCAGATAGCCTGTTAGAAGTACACATTGGACAAACATTTTTAAATGTCAATAAAGGAGTATTTCACCTTGCATTTCCTACTAATTTGGATCTTTAGTGGCTTTCAAAGCCACTGTTCTTCAGTAATGCATATTCTGTTTTACTGCACTGGTACAGAGCTTACTGCACTTCCATTTTCCTGATTAGTATCAGTCCAGTTTTTGACACATTTGTGAAGTAATGTGGAAATTACTGGGCATTAGTCGGGGGATATGTATTCTAGAACCCTGTCACTTTCCTTTAATTTATTGATTTTCTCAGAAAGCTACTGGTGCTAATTGGGTAGCATCTAATTCTAAATGTGACCGTGAGGATGCAGATGCAGTTTATTATTTTTTAGCAGGAAATGTCATAGGCTTTATTTAATATTTGTTTTGTAGCAGTTATACAATATGATTAAGTATCTCCATGGAATGACTGTGTATGCTATAGCCTGGCATGGAAAAATATTTTCCTCAGCGACATAAGAACTTGTCATGAATGCGTGATCTCAGTGATGCATCAAGATATTCCATTGTTTGGTGGGAAGGTGTCAATTAGTTTCATTAAAATGCTAAGATATTATAGTGTAATACTAAGGGTAGTGTTGTTTTAGAAATTGAAACTTTGTAATCTAGGTTCTGGGAGGGACACCTTAATAAGTTAGAGAAGCTTAATGAAGAAGGCTTGCAGCATGTGGATCAACTTGAGGGAGGTGGAAGTGATTGTTTTGGTGCTTTTTGGTAGTAGAATGTGAAAACTTTTTCAGATAGATCCAAAGCCCATAAGACAGGCATAGGCGGCAAACTCGGCCCTCCAGATGTTCCTGTTCCTTGCCGTCTTGAAGCTGTTTTTTCTCCAAGGGCAGGAAAGCAGACTGGGTGGTGGTGGTGATGTTGAGTGGACAGCTGCAGTAAGGGGGAGTATTAACGGTTAAGCAGCCCTTGCTTTTCCATTCCTAATCAGAGTCTGTGAAGTCCTTTTCTTTTAAATAGCAGTGAAACCATACTAGGCAGGTATGAGGCCCAAATGTAGTCCTGCAGAATAGTAAATGCATAATAGTAAATTACCAATAAACTTGTATTCCTTCTGATTGCTGATAGATTTGGCAAAGAGAGCTAAGAACGCTATTTTGCTGAGGCAGTCTAGCTGAAATGTTTAAGAGCATACACACCCACTGTCATTGTTGCTACAATACCTGGCATCTTCCTGTTATCTCTGTTCTGCATGTGGTAAATTGGCATGCCTCTAGGCAGGAATGGGGTTGGTCATAGAATGGTATTTTGCTGGGTGTAGTTATGTTGCCTTGGGAATAACTTATCAGTCACAATTAAAAGTGTTAACACTTCTTAATTTAAAACTGTTATATTGCAAATCATCCAGTGTGAAATAAAACAACTTTAAACTTCCACAAGCCATGATTGCATAAAAGAATAGTTTTAGAGAATAAATACCTTAAGATTGTACAAGTAAAAATAAAATTCTGGCAAATGTTAAGTATATACAGTTTAATATGTGACTGAACACTTAACATGTGCATGCATTTACAGAAATTTGGGGTTATTTTTTCTAGAAACTGTAAAATAGCAAGCTGAAATATAAATAAAACTTCAGGGCATTTCAGCTTTATCTGTTCTGCTATCTGCAGAGTTGGTGCTAGTACTTACCGTATTTTTCGCTCCATAGGGCGCACCCGACCATAGGGCACACCTAGGGGTTTTTTGGGGGGGGGAATAAAGAAAAAAAGCTCCCTGGGCTTCAGGCTGCAGGCTGCTATTCGCAAGCCTTCGGAGCCCGGCGGGAACTCCTGCCGTGCTCAGAAGGCTTGCGGATAGGTGCCTGAAGCCTGGGGAGCGCAGTGCTGCACTCCCCGGGCTTCAGGCTGCTATCCGCAAGCCTTCGGAGCTCTCCGAAGGTTTGCGGATAGCTGCCTGAAGCCTGGAGAGTGAGAGGGGTCGGTGCGTACCGACCCCTCTTGCTCTCCAGGCTTCAGCGAAAGCCTGGATTCGCTCCATAGGACGCACACACATTTCCCCTTCATTTTTGGAGGGGGAAAAGTGCGTCCTATAGAGCAAAAAATACGGTCACAAGGACATGTGTTGTTGCTACTATCCTTTTATTATTGTGTTTCTCAAAATGTTTCTTCCCAGGTCCTAACTGTGCCTGCCCAGTTCTGCTTTGCCAGTTGTGCAACTGAGAGGTATTTTGTATGCAACAATTTGTACTCTGGTTTGATGCCAATATTGAAGTGCAAAATACTCACTTATCAATATCAGATGTGAAGGGTTTAGACATATATAAATAGCCTTTTCACCTTTTAAAATATACATGAGAAGTAAATGAGAATGAGAAATGATCACAACCATTGCTGGTATGTACTTAAAAACAGACATTCCATTTTATACACATGTATGCCCTTCACATCTAATGCAGTATAACTGAGACATGGGTGGTGCTGTGGTCTAAACCACCAAGCCTCTTAGACTTGCTGATCAGAAGGTCGGCAGTTCAAATCCGTGTGATGGGGTAAGCTACTGTTGCTCTGTCCCAGCTTCTGCCAACCTAGCAGTTCGAAAGCATACCAGCACAAGTAGATAAATAGGTACCACTGCGGCAGGGATGTAAGCAGTGTTTCCATGCGCTTTGTGCCAGAAGCGGTTTAGTCATGCTGGCCACATGACCCAGAAAACTGCCTGTGGACAAATGCCAGCTCCCTCGGCCTGAAAGTGAGATGAGCGCCGCACCCCATAGTCTCCTTTAACTGGACTTAACCGTCCAGGGGTCCTTTACCTTTACCTTTTTTAAATACAGTATATGTGTAGTTTATACACTACGTAAGAAGCATCCTTTAGAATATCTCTATCAGAGTAAATGAACTTTGCCTAAATATCCACGATTGGGCTGAATGCTCCTGCCATTGCTTATCTGAAAATGAAATGCTTTGATATACTTCCTAGCATTCCGTAGCTGTGTTTCAAAGAACCAATGGAAGGCCCTTCTTTGTATTCACCTTATACTACACTGCCTGGGGTTACAGAGAGTTTGGAGACCCTAGTTTTTTGCAAGCACAATGGGCTACAGTAGGGGGCAAAAAAAACCTTCAGAGTGTGTGTCCAATAAAACTGTTTCTTATGATCTCAGTTGCTGTCTCCTGATGCTACGACCTGCGTATCCAGGCTATGTGTGTACTGACCATGGTTTGCTTTAAGTTGGTAACAACATTATATAAGTGCAAAGTTTCATATAAGATTTTTCAATAATTTACCAGACTGCACTGTGAACCAGGAGTCTTCAGTTTAATTCTGCAGTCTGTCATCTGTTACAAGTTGATCATAGGCAAGAGTTATTTCTCAGCCTCAAGTAATCAATCTGCAATATGCGACAATACTGACTTAGCCTAGGGTGATTGTAAGTAGTATTGAGAGAATGTTTGTAAACTATTTGGAACAACCTAAGCTTTGTTTGGAGCCTAGGGCTTGCCAATCAGAAGGTTGGCAGTTCGAATCCCCGCGACAGGGTGAGCTCCCATTGCTTGGTCCCTGCTCCTGCAGTTCAAAAGCACATCAAAGTGCAAGTAGATTAATAGGTACCGCTCCGGCGGGAACGTAAATGGTGTTTCCGTGCGCTGCTCTGGTTCACCAGAAGCAGCTTAGTCATGCTGGCCACATGACCCGGAAGCTGTACGCCGGCTCCCTCGGCCAATAAAGCGAGATGAGCGCCGCAACCCCAGAGTTGGCCACGACTAGACCTCATGGTCAGGGGTCCCTTTACCTTTAAGCTTTGTATAAAAGCTGCTGACCATTTAGTTTCCCCTTTTCCCCAGGAAAATGAATTCTGCCTGTAAAACTAGTTTGTTTGTTTTTTATTGTAAGCTGCTAAACCCAATCAGGAACCTGCCTTCTGTAGCGGCACTAGATGTTAAATAGCAGTAGATGACAAAAGAAAAATTGAGAGGTAGTCCAGATTGGTACATGCCAATGATATTGCCTTGTTTGGTCTGTTGAAAACAACAACAGCATTTTCATCTTAACTGATATTCTAGTGTGCAGTACAGTTGCAATCCACTGGAGCACAATAATGTTTTTATTTTATTTTAATTACATGGATTTCTGACCAGGTTGCCACAAATTAAACATACCCTTTTAAATTTTGTTTTTCCATATATTCTGTTTTCCAGAAGCTTGTGGGAAAGGTGGCTTGTTTCATTATGTGTGCGTCAGTCAAATATAACACCCGGGGTCCAGCCCTCATCCCAAGAATGAAGACTAAACACCGCATTTACTACATTGCTCTCTTCTCCATTGTGCTGTTGGGCCTCATTGCTACAGGGATGTTCCAGTTCTGGCCACACTCCATAGAGTCCTCAAATGATTGGACAGTTGAAAAACGCAGCATTCATGATGTGCCTGTGGTCAAGATTCCAGCAGACAGTGCCATCCCAGAACGAGGAGATCTCAGCTGCAGGATGCATACATGTTTTGATGTCTACCGCTGTGGCTTCAATCCCAAAAATAAGATCAAAGTCTATATTTACTCTCTAAAGAAGTATGTGGATGAATACAATATGCCTGTGAGTCATACCATTTCCAGGGAATACAATGACCTGTTAACCGCCATCTCCGACAGTGACTTCTACACAGATGACATCAATCGTGCCTGTCTCTTTGTGCCATCAATTGACGTACTCAACCAGAATATGCTCCGTATCAAGGAAACTGCTCAGGCTTTGGCACAGCTCTCCCGGTACTTACACATATCTTACTGTGAATGCTAGAGCTACAACAGTAAAACAAGGGTAAGGGGACTAAGAGGGGAAACCAGATAGTCAAGGAGTGCATTGGTTTTCAGTCTTAATTATTGACCACCCTGTTCTCCCACTGTTTGGTAATTATTCATTTGGGCTTATACATCAAGCAGGCCAATTGCAACTCATTTGAGAGTGCCTGGTTCAGAAATCATGTGAATGATGACATTTATGGCTAATCTGTGACCATTGGGCTCCTGCATTTTTTGTAGAGCTGTTTTGTTACAGAGTGGCTTTGGATGTGTGCTTATCTCTGAAGCTCTGGTTTCAAGCATGTGTGGTGGTCTCATTTCCCCATCATTTTTCTTTCTCAGTTGGAATCATGGGACAAATCACCTCTTGTTCAACATGTTGCCTGGAGGACCACCTGACTACAACACAGCACTTGATGTTCCAAGAGACAGGTAGGCAACTCTGGGTGCATCTCGGCTTGAAGCAGAGGGGTTTGTATGGGGGTTAACACAGATTGAGTGAGGGACATCCACATTCCCACACTATCCCTGTACCTTTAACCTATCGGCATGCTTCTCCATCTCATTGATGTATTGCACGATACATCTTAGGTTGCGTCCTGTTTACAACTTCCTCCTTTCACTTCTCTCTCGGACCTCAATATGAGAGAGAGGTCATCTTTAACTGTCCTCTGAGAAGCAAAGGAGCAGGCATGGCTTCCTTGTTGTTCTCTAGACCAGTGTTTCCCAACCGGTGTTCCGCGGCACACTAGTGTGCCGTGAGACACCGGCTGGTGTGCCGTGGGAGGGAGGCGGGCGAGTCGGGCGGCGAGAGGCGGGGCGGCGGCGGCGAGCACACGCGGGGCGGCGAGCGAGCGAGCTCCCACATCCCATCGCCGCTCGCTTCGGCCGGCCTACTGGAGGAAGGCGCGAAAACCCGGCGGGCTTTTGGGTGGGCGCCAAGCAAGAAAGGCGGGAAGGCTCTGGTCCCTCCCCTCCCGGCGGGGCTCCCGCACGCACCTTTCTGCGCCGCCGCGTCCCGCCTGAGCAGCAACAGGAGGAGGAGGAGGGAGGCCAGCGCCGGCCGGGTCCCCCGGGGGAGCGGGCGCTCCGGGCTGCTCACCATACCCCGCGTCTCGGGCGCAGCAGCCGGCAGTCCGAATGCATCCCGAGCCGCGCTGCTCTCGCCTTGCCTCCTTCTTCGCGCCTCCTCCCGGCTCGCGCGCCGTCCCTGCGCGGATCCGTCCAGCCTCCGGCCGCCGCCGCCGCCCCCTCCTCTTCCTCTCCTTCCCCCACCCACCAACCCGCACGGCGCGCTCCCACCGCCCCCGATGGGCGCAACCACTTCCGGGTCCGCTGCAGCCGCCCCTTCCCCGCCTCCGGCAGCCGAAAGTCCCCCAGCGGAGCCCGTCTGGCCGCTCCCCCCGCTCCCTGCCCACCTCCCGGTGTTGAGGCGCCCTCTTTCATTGCTTCGCGGGGAGGGAAAAAACTTTGACTTTTGTGCGTCCCTCCCGGCGTGACGCTGCGCGCTGACGTCACGGGGCGGGGCTTTAATGGTGGTGTGCCGCGAGATTTTTTTCCGGTAAACAGGTGTGCCGTTGCCCAAAAACGTTTGGGAAACACTGCTCTAGACTAGTTAGTTGGACTAGAACTAGAAACCTTTCTGTGCAAGCTATGTGTATCGTACAATAAACAACTTTATTTTTTTCCTACCTACAAGCATCTCTGTGTGGGATTGCAGCAAGAAGAGTCTACTCTCTAACCATGATTTGCTAGCTAAGTGCTGCACTTTCTGCATACTAAGGTGTTTCAACAGGGTAATTGGCCCACTTCTCCCAATAGGCAACTTGCTGCTGTTTCTTTGAGACTTTTTAGAACAAGTCTCTAAATAAGATCCAGAGCTGTTGGGAGTCAAAGTGTGAATTTATTTATATTTCATAGAATTGTAGAGTTGGAAGGGACCAAGAGGATCATCTAGTCCAACTCCCTGCAATGCAGAAATCTTTTGCCCAACATGGGGCTCAAACCCATGACCTTGAGAGTTAGGTACACACTTCCCCCTTCTCCATTTTATCCTCATAACATCCTTATGAGGTAAATTAGGCTGAGAGACAGTTACTGGCACAAAGTCACCTAGTGGGCTTCAGCACTGAGTGGGGATTTGAACACTGATTTCCTGGATCCTTGCCCAGCACTTAAACCACTACTCCACTCTGGCTGTGAGTGGCTGAATGCTTTGGACTGGCCCGGTCAGCACTTACCCTCTTCGTGCCATTTTGTCAGCTTTACTGCTTCTGAAACTTAATGGAACATAAATATACTGCTTTCTAAAACAAATTACTTCTACATAGCATTTAACTAGTTGGCCTTGATTTACAGCCAACCAAAGGGTATCCTCCTATTGAAGACGAGAACTTTTTTAAAATCTAAGTTTTACATCTTAGAAACATGGCTTCAGTTTGTCTCTACTGACTGTTAGTATCTGCATATCTTTATGTGGAGGTTTTGCCATTGATTTCAGTGGAATTTGGATTGCCCTCAAATTCTTGTGTATGTATAGAAAGTCACACTCCAGAAGTTCCTGTACAGAGAGCAGTCAAGGAGTATTTTTGTTTCCTCTGTATGACTTGTCAGAAAAAAAGGATTATTGTGTATGTATTGGTATGGGTAATTTAGTTTTTTAGCATCTTATGTCACAATACTTGAATCCCTCCTGTGTATATATGATGTGAGTGGCCAGTAGAGGACAGTCAAGTATTATTATTTTACCATCTAAATGTGTAAGTATGTGTGTGTTCTTTAGAAAATCCAAGGTATAGTCAGGCTGATTAAATATTTGATATCACTAGGTGTAAGTTTCCACATTTTTATTTATAAACTCTTATAGGATTCTGTGCTCTTCCCTCCCCATTATAGGTTAAATAAATAAAACATTTTGTCTAACCCATATGCTTTTTTGCTGCCAGTTTTTAACTCCAATCTGTTTAACTCCACCTTTACTACACACGGCAGCAAGGTATAGACATGGGCTGAGCAAACTCAGAGACTTGCATCAAATATGTTATTATTTATTAAAACTTATTTAATATAATAGGGATTTACTTGAAGGCAGGTTATTTAATCAATTAATAATAATAATAACCCCAGCCACTCTGGGTGGCTTACAGCATATATCGAAACCTAATAAAACATCAAACATAAAAAACTTCCCGATACAGGGCTGTCTTCAGATGTCTTCTAAAAGTTATGTAGTTGTTTATCTCTTTGACATCTGAAGGGAGGGTGTTCCACAGGCAGGGTGCCGGTACCGAGAAGGTCCTCTGCCTGTTTCCCTGTAACTTCACATCTCGCAGTGAGGGAACCAGCAAAAGACCCTCAGAGGAAGTGTCCGGGCTGAATGATGGGGGTGGGGATGCTCCTTCAGGTATACTGACTTTTAGAAGACATCTGAAGGCAGGGAAGTTTTTTATGTTTGAAGTTTTATTCTGTTTAATATTCTTGTGGGAGCCGCCCAGAGTGGCTGGGGAAACCCAGTCAGATGGGTGGGGTATAAACTATTATTATTATTATTATTATTATTATTATTATTTATTAATTATTTTTATTATTATATTACTGGCCAAGGCCGTTTAGGGCACTTTGAATTGTGCTCGGAAATTCACTGGGAGCCAATGAAGAACCTTTAGGACCGGTGTTGATAAAATCCCGGCAGCCACTCCCAGTCACCAGTCTAGCTACCACATTCTGGATTAGTTGTCGTTTCCAAGTCACCTTCAAAGGTAGCCCCACATAGAGCGCATTGCAGTAGTCCAAGCGGAGATAACCAGATCATGCACCACTCTGGTGTGACAATCTGCAGGCAGGCAGGGTCTCAGCCAGCATACTAGATAGAGCTGGTAGACAGCCAACCTTGACACAGAATTGACCTGCACCTTCATGGACAGCTGTGATTCCAAAATGACTCCCAGGCTGTGTCCATGGTCCTTCAGGGCACAATTACCCCATTCAGGACCAAGGAGTCCCCCACACCTGTCCGTCCTCTGTCCCCAAAACAATACTTCTGTCTTGTGAGGATTCAACCTCAATCTGTTAGCCACCATCCATCCTCCAGCCGCCTCCAGACACTCACACAGGACCTTCATTGGTTATGATTTGAAGAAGAGGTTGAAGTGGATATCTTCTGCATGCTGGTGAGCACCCAGCCCAAACTCCCTGATGATCTCTCCCAGTGGCTACATATAGATGTTGAAAAGCATTGGGGAGAGGACAGAGCTCTGAGGCACCCCACAAATGAGAGCCCAGGGTTCTGAACACTCATCCCACAACACCACTTTCTGGACATGGTCCAGGAGAAAGGAGCGGAACCACTGCATAACAGTGCCCCCAGCAATACTTGGTTTGTTAATAGTTGATATGCCACTGTTACTTTAGCAGATGTTACTGGTGCTTTAAAAGTGTTATTGCTAGTTCTCATCCCTGTGCAAAGCTAATAGCCAGTCCCCTTTTCTCCTCTTATGGTTAACTCACAAATACTCCACCTGAAGCCTTCTCTCTGGTCAGGGTTTTCCAAAGCGATACAGGGTGGAACAGGATCTCCCAGCTGTCACTTCTTGGTTTCGGTTTTCTTCTGAAACCTTCCTCCTGGTCAGGCACTTGAACACCAGGACTTGGCCGTGAAGACGTCACAGTTCTCTTCTCTGATGTCTCCTGCAGCCAACAGTCACCTTCTGACCAAAGTTGTAGTAACTTACTGGAGAACTTCCTTCAGAGTCTTCCTCTCCAGACTAGCTTTCCCCCACTTCTGCCTAGAAGTCTCTTCACTTTCTGATGGCTGATTAAAAATCTCCACACAATATTGTGCCTATCTATATTCTCTGTCAGAACCTTTTTGGAATATACTGTTTGTACTTGACCAGTAGGTATAGGGTGGTATACAAAATCATCATCATCATCATCATCATCATCCCATAGAAATGGGTCAGTGGGTAGACACTCACTAACATTGGATATCAGCCAGTGATTTTGAACAGAATGTACACTAAGTGACCTATCACAATGTGACCCATTTCAATTCTCCTGTCCCATATGAAAGCCAGATTCTGCTGTTAGCTGTCATAACGGAAAACCTTACAAGAATGTAAACACCTCTTTTGAAACTAACAGCCTAGCTGCTTCTTGGCCTGCTGCCAACTGAGCCTCCACACATTATCTTTTCCTGGCTTCAGTCACAACTGAACTGCCAGTTTTTTCTCTTCATACCGTTAACCCTTTACCAAACAAGCACTGTTTATACAGAGCAGTGTTGCTAAATTTAAAATTTCCCTCACCATGTTCCTTTTTCCTCCCACTTGCCTTCAGAAATCTAAGAGTTAATATTTTGGTTCTTGTGCTGCAGAGCGCACACCCAAACTGAAATACTTAACTGGGTGTTGGTTCCCTGTGGCTTTGCTTAGGTAGATGCACACCTGCGTTCTCAAGGTTGATGAAGTGGGGTTAACATTGCTTACTGGATCCAAATTAAAACAATCTGGTTACTATTTCTTAATTAGGAAGGAGAAACAAGGAGCAAAAGTGCAGGAGAAGTAACACATGAGCCAAATTCAGTTTTTTCTTGCTTTCTTGTTCAACACCTCTGAATTCATGTGAAATTGGGAATGTGAGGCTTGAAGGATAACAGCAGCATTCTGCAGTGCTGTGCTGCATGTCACTTAAAATAAATGGAAAAGAATGCAAAATAATCACTTTGGTTTTAGGACCTAAAACTCATTCAACACTTCCCTCATCTAGGTCTCTTTCTGTAAACACACATGTAGCCTGGGCTGGTATGTTTGAGTTTGCTTCCATTTTTTTATGGGAGGTTTGAAATATTATATTTTTTCAGCACCTTTTGGGTGATTTCCAACATTAGTTAGAATACACTTGTTGAACTCAATGGACATTGAACTCTGGAACTCTGAAAGCAGTTCACAGCATTTATATAGCATTAATTGTTCCTCCTTTCTGGAGTTCAGCAACAGCTGTTTCTGGTTTTTTTAATGCTCAAAATAAGTCATGGAAAATAACTTATGTAAGATTGTCATAGGAAAGGTGAGAAGGCACCAAATTTCCATGCTCATGAATGCTGGAACTTCTGCTTTTCACTAGAGGTTGCATTACATGACTCTGCAAGTGGAAGGCAACTCACACAACAGAACTTGCTCTCCCTCCTGCCTGCAGCCCCTGTACCCACCCAAAGCCTCTCCATGGGGTTGAGGAGGGGGCTACAGAACATTGTCAGCTCTGCCATATGGGGCTGAAGTTAGTGGGGGATCATCTCTTGCAATGGGTGAAGGAACCTTCTGCTCATGTGACCAGTGGAATCCTCTCATTGTTTTCTCAGCCATGAGGGCTGGTATTTTATTTTAAAGTACCATATTTACAGGAACTTGCACATCACATTTCATGCAAAATCCTCTGTTGGATCCTGATGGTGAGCTACTCTGGGCTCAAAGTATTTCATATTCTTAGGTACCAGTAGCTGCAGCAACTTGAATGATCAGCTGAAGAAATTTGCTCACAGTTAACTCAATAGTAAATGTATGTAGTGAGCAGCTGCACTGCCCAACGGTGGTCCTTGCACAGTGCCTATAATGGGCATGTATCTATTTCACTGAGCGAAGTTTAAGATCTAAGTGAAGTAGATGCTAGTTGGAAGTAGTGTGTCTGGCCCTGTTCGTTTTAGTGTCTGGAAATAATAAATTCTACTGCTGTTCAGGGGATTTTTGGCATGTACTTGAAGTGATGGGTTATGTTCATCTAATCTCCAGGACCTGAAGTGATTAAAAAAAATAAAAAGTATGCTAATTTTCCTGCAATGTGAAAATCGCCTTCCCCATAGGGAAGTGCTATAGCTCAGTGATGGAATAAATGCTTTGCCTACACTAGGTACAAGGTTCAGTCTCCAGGTAGGGTTGGGAAAGACCCTTGTTCGAAAGGTAACTTGAATTTAAATTCACTGTTTAATGCAAGCCCTACTTTGGGTGGAATCTTGAAGATTCTTCCTTTGCAGTTCTACTGAGGTTGGACTGGGTGTGTGTTCTTGATTCTTCCTTTGAAGTTTGAATAACCTGACATCATAGGACATAAAGAGGTTTACAGGAGGAGACACCCACCTTTAAAAATGGACCTGCTCATGGGATCCGATTCCCCACCCCTGAAATAAAGGTCTCTTTACTCATGGAAGTTTCTTAAAGGACTGTAATCTGAGTTGTTTTAGGTGTGAGGTGCCAAAACTACATATATAAAGAAATAAAAGTTCTCACTTCTCAAAAGCTGTACAGAGACAAAACAGTATTTGGGAGATAATTTTATTTCTGATGTATTATCTGCAATTTTAAGAGTAATACAGCGAAGTCCTTCCCCCTAGAATGTGATGCTTAGGCACACAGTCGACTGTAATGAGAGGGGAAATGTTGTTTGGGTTTTCCCCTGTTGTAAAACGGCGCATGACCCAGATTAATACCACATTGCCAGTAACATGTTCCAAGAGATGCAGTCTTCTTTCAATCTAGATGTGTATACTAGATTCAGGGTATTAAAGATGAGCTTTGCATCGCATCAGGTCATAGGCTACTTTCTGGGAATGGCAGGCTGAGAGCACCTGTCATCTGGAGGCTCTCTTCACTTAATATTTATCAATGTATTTCAAAAACGTATACCACCTTTCCATTTAAAAACCATTTAGTGCACCTTAAAGGCGGATAGAATAGTGTTTCCTAGCCAGGATGACTGTGTTCTACCACAGCCGTGGGATTTTCTTGGAATTACAAGTGGGGAAAGTGCTGTTGAACTCAGGGTCTGCTTGCAAGCTTTCCTTAGGCATCTGATCAGCGACTGTGAGAACTGGATGCTGGACTAAATGGGACAGTGGTCTGATCCAGCAAATCGAGCTGTGCTTATGCTCTTATTTGAACATAGAATGCCTATGTAGGATCTTCAGGTATCTGAACTCATTACATATATTGTTTTTGAATCAAAATGTTTCTAAAACTACAGCGAGAGCTTGCCATTTTCCTCCACTCCACCTCTCTGATTTCCTGTCTTTTGAAAAGGTGTTGGGTTGTTGCGGTGGGAGGGGGGAATATAGCTGTAACTTATCTTTTTCCTTTTCTCCTCAGAGCTCTGTTGGCAGGAGGAGGTTTTTCTACGTGGACCTACCGACAAGGCTATGATGTCAGCATTCCTGTTTATAGTCCACTGTCCGCAGAGGTGGAACTGCCAAATAAAGGGCTGGGGTAAGCTGAAGATGAGTGGGAGAATGCAGCATAGTTTGTCTTCTTGCTAACAATGTCATATAATGCGAGCTGCATCTGAGCAGCTAATAAATTCAGTCCAGAAAACCAAAAGCATGCAGTATTGGGGACGGGGGGAGCTGGTTGTATAACTGCTCTTGTAATTGTTGAGAGCTATGAGACCGAAATATGGCTGCGTATTATCTGTCAACAGATTATCTCATAAGTGCTATAGAAAGCCCAAGTTCTAATTACACTGATCAAGGTTTCCTGAGCAATAATGGATGCTTTCCCTGGGAACCTCTGACATTTGCTTTAACTAGCAAAAGTTAACACCTAACAGTTGGGGAGGAAGGGAAATTTATCAAAGTGAAAGTGCTTTCTGCTGCTCCAGGCTTGGCCACCATCACAGGCTAAAACATGTGACTTGCTTTCGGGATCATCTGTTTGTGAAAAGGGTTTGTCTCTCTTGTTATGTGTCCCTGGATTCTGCCGCCTTCCCCACCCTAGTAGTATTTGGAAATTTCAAACCTCCAAAATAAGACTGCCTAATTTTCACTGTAGGGACGCGGGTGGCGCTGTGGGTAAAAGCCTCAGCGCCTAGGGCTTGCCGATCGAAAGGTCGGTGGTTCAAATCCCCGCGGCGGGGTGCGCTCCCGCTGCTTGGTCCCAGCGCCTGCCAACCTAGCAGTTCGAAAGCACCTCCGGGTGCAAGTAGATAAATAGGGACCGCTTACTGGCGGGAAGGTAAACAGCGTTCCGTGTGCTGCGCTGGCTCGCCAGATGCAGCTTGTCACGCTGGCCACGTGACCCGGAAGTGTCTTTGGACAGCGCTGGCCCCCGGCCTATAGAGTGAGATGGGCGCGCAACCCTAGAGTCTGTCAAGACTGGCCCGTACGGGCAGGGGTACCTTTACCTTTAATTTTCACTGTCTTGCTTTCCTTGCTGAATCCACTAGAGTAGAACTGCAGTGAAGAGTGGACAGAAACCTTGGAGCAGGAAACCATGCATTTGGTCAGGAACCAGAGCAAATGGGAACTGAAAATTACTTTACAATTTAGTGGGTATTTGGGCTTTCCATGGTACTCATACAATAATGTTCACTCCTTTCAGCTTTAGTTAAGCAACTTACATAAACACTCTTTCTCAACCTATCTTCAGCGATCTTTTGCTGAAGTAAGATAGACATTGAGAGTACTGAATCATAGGCATGGTTTCTCTCTCACAAACATTTTTTGACAAATGAGACAGTGTCACTTCTGGAGAAAAGTCAAAGGGGGGAATTCAACATTGTGCTTTTCTGATCATTTCTTCAGCACAAGCATTTCTACTTATCAGACAGAATGATCTTTCCTCCCCCTGCAGGCTGTCCTGGAAGTGGTCCCGACCCTCCAGAGCAGATTTGGGGGAGGCGTGGGGGAAGAGGGAAACAAGAGAAAGCCTCATTAGTTGAACTATCCCAGGTTAGTTGAATCCAGAGTTGGAAGAGACCACAAGGGCCATCGAGTCCAACCCCCAATCCAGGCCAATAATTTCAGTGAATGGGAAATGGCATGCATTCTTGCAGTCTTGTCTACAGGACACTAATTTGAATATATATAAAAAAACACAGCTAATGTACTTTTAAAGAAAGCAAAACAGTGCACAGTAAATAATTGTGCATATCTTTGCCATATCTGTTGGGGAACCTCCCCCCAGAAAAAGTATCAGGAGACTTCCTAAGTATGTAGAAAAATATTTGTGTATTTGTAAATTAAGAGAAATGCCACCACCAGCCCTGCTAAAAACAAACAAGGGCTGAACATCCTTAGTGGCTTCCAGAACTCATAAATAATTGAAGTCAGGTGAACATTTAATTACTGCATTTATATCCCACCTTTTATCCAGGCAGCTCAAGGTGCCATACGGATTCCTACCCTTCCCATTTTAACTCTGCAACAACTCTTTGAGGCAGGTTAGGCTAAGCAACTATGGTTCGTCCAAGGTCATAGTGGGTTCAAATCCCCTGAGAGTGGAGATTTGGACCCTAGTCTCCCAGGTCATAGTCTGATACTCCAACCACTTTAGAAGCAGTTCACCAATTTTAAAAAGATATGTTATAGGATTTTTTTTTTAGTGTTCCTGAAAATTTTGAATTTTTCCACAGGTGAAAAAATCAAAACAGCCCCCTCCTCCCCTCCAACCCCCCCTTTCCCTCCCTCCCCACCTCTGTTCTGAACTTTCACATATCTGGGTTCAGTGCAACTTACAGTTTTCTTTAATAAGGACTGAAGGCTGTGTTGTGAATGAAGAGAAATATATTTAAAGTTCTGTTCTGCTCACAGTCCTGCATGTTAGGTGTTCACTATTGTATGGAAATTGATTTCCCTTTTTATTCATAGTTGGGCTTGAATGGCAAATTTTTAAAAAATAGCAACTTCCAGTCATGTACCACTTAGCTAAGATCACCGGCATTTATTGTATTTGCCTGAAGCTGTGCTGATGCATATTTTAACTGTTAATTTGTTTTGGAAATCTGAGATGAGAGTTCAGTTTAATTTTATTACACATCTGTGGCTTTGCAGATACAAAGCCTGGAGTGCCTGCAGTAAGCATGTGGGGACGACTTCAGATAGCAGGTTTTAAAAAACACTAATCTCTACATATATCTTGCATCTCAGAGCATCAAGTAGGAATATTTATCTTCATATGTGCTACAAAGTTGTAAATGTAAGAGGCAGCTATTAAAAGAAGGTAAAGATATGGGAAATAGTTGAGGCACTGGTTAATTTAAGGTCTTACCATAGACCAATGAGGTTCAAAGGTGGGATTATATACCTGGTAGCTACCTCTCTCAGAACAACCTGCTGGTTTTTGAGGTTTGCAAAGCAGGTGATCAGCAGACTGTATGTTGAACAAATGGCTCCAGATTACTCAAGTGAACCAAGACAGATGCGGTGAGGAAAGCGACCTCTCTTCCTGACCCAAAATATGGCAAGGAGCTAAACTCTGACTGTTAGAGACACATCTTGAGTTCCAATAACACAGTGGTGTGATTTAAGCTGTAGAATACTGCTTGTATTACTTTTAAAGTTATGAACACTTCACTGAAGAGTTGCATAGGTTTCTTACAAATTGCTACCCAGTCAGTAACACGCTTGTAACTTGGATTTTCTAATGTGTGCTCGTTGTTTCCAGAAGAAATCCATTTGATTATAACCGAGTTCTTGGTTGTTGTTGTTTTGGAAAAGAAGGAATGTCTGCATTGCATCATGGAGGATATAGGTCTTTAAGTTTTATGGAGAACTTGCTGTGTTAATAAGCAGAACTGGTATGGCAGCAGTTATCAAGAGGAAATGTCACTTCTGTTGTGCACTTGCCACATAAGTAGCACTTAGAACAAGCTGGCATTTAGCCAAATTAAGAAACGATGCAAGAGTTTAATTCAGTAGGAAATCCTTATCAGTATGATGCCAAGCCTCCTAAAATGCTGTGCTGTCCAATCTGCTTTTAAAGACTATTAGCAGTATTTACTGGGAGCGGAGTCCCACTTATTTCAGTAGTGCTTCCTTCCAAATAAGAATGCTTAATCTTGCTACACTACATTGCAGTTCTCTGCCTGCTTGTTCAAGTAAGTCCTGTTACCTTCAGTGAAACTGTCATGAGTGAACGTGCAGAGGAACCGGCTGTAAACTTGCAATCTTGTCATACTTGTTCATGGTGGGACTCCTTGTGTATACTGCACTCATAGTTCACAACTATGTATTTTATTTATGTGCTAATATCTACTGCTAGTTGGGTCTTACAGCTTGTATATGAATCCTTCTAGAATTCAACTTGATTGCACCAGTATAGGATTATTTCCAACTCACTTCTTTCTAAAGTAAAGAGAAATGCTATGGCTATAAAGCTAACAAGTCTGAGTCCCGCAGCAGAATAAAGGGAAACACATACCAAATTATCTAGTGAGAATCCTGCAGGATTTGTCAGGCTCTCATTTATGGGGTCTTCAGTCCCCGTAGGTACTTCCTCCTTTCCTCTCAGATGGCTCTTCATCCTGAATACCGTTCTGACTTGGAGGCTCTTCAAGCTGAGAATGGAGAATCTGTGCTGATCCTGGACAAATGTACCAACCTCTCAGAGGGAATCCCTTTTACTCGTAAGCGCTGCCACAAGAATCAGGTCTTTGATTATCCCCAGGTGCTTCAGGTAAGTCTGCCTATAGTGCCTCTATCGCTTTTGTATTTGATTACAGGAAATTATGGATTGTGACATATGCAATTCTATGCAATTTTTATTCTGAAGAATAAGATGTATTATACGGATTGATTACACTTTGGATATTGTTTGTTGCTGTCAGTTCTAAGGTGTTCTGATGTGTGATGCTATGTGCTACTTTTTTAGTTTAAAGGAGAGAGAGGATGATATACAGCTAAGTCATGCTCAAGAGTAGACCCATTGAAAGCAATGGAATTATGGGTGATATTAAACTAAGTTTGAATATGTAAAGTCTATTGCTTTCTTGAATATGAGTTGGTTGGATATCCCCTTTAAGTTCATTGCTTTCAGTGGATCTGCTCTTTCTTTTCTTTTTAAAAATTTTTTGGACTTACTCCAGTGTCCAAATTCATTCTTGTACCGAGCATCGCTATAGGGTTTCTTGTCCTCATACTTATTCTTGAGAGAGAGAAATTTTAGCTGGATGTGGCTTACAAATATAAATGGCCAAGGACGTATTTGAAGTACATATTGCCGTAGTTAAATAACTGTACTTCCCTGAAGTCATGACAAATGAAGTTGTTAAACTAGATTTCATGCCTGTACTGCTTCACCCAGGAAGTGGCAGTTCTGTTATATCTACAGCTCCAAAGTCATATTTCGTTAGGCAAGGAAGATAACATCTGGCCTGCATGTCTCTTTAATGACTGCAACATATACAGCATAAAGGTGCTTTGGTGTAGAAATATGGCAAGGGAGGTTTTGCTCCTAACTATAGCAAACTATCTCATTCTGTATGTAAGTTCAGAGATTAAAAAATGCACCATTATGCAGATGTTTAATTAGTTGCAAAAGAAAGATGCTTACAGTTCTGTGTTGAGGAGTGGAAGGAAGGGCTTCCCTAAATTCAGATGTTCTGCCTGAAGATCAAACAGTTTCTCTTCCCCTTCTTTAAAGGCAGACAGAATCATCCTAGAATTGCAGTTGTGAGTTTTTGCGAGTTTAACAAATAAAACTTTGAGGAGAGCTGTCATGCAGAGATAGTTAAAATAGCTTTCCCTCACAGAACCCTGCATCTCCATTTGGAATGTCTGGCTGATAACGGTGATAATGTGAGGATATGTATTTATAGTAGGTTTTGTCTAGACAGGAAAAAAAGGCTAGTTGGGTAAGAGGAGTGTATTCATCCACACCATAGTATTACTTTTCCCTCTTAAACCCATTTTTATTCCCTTACTCCTAGCAAAACTACAGGGGTTTCTTAACAAGTGATATTTGACTTTTTTGTTCCTTGTAAATATATGATGATATAATAGTATATTAATGGTAACTTATTAATATATGATGAAATAATCTGGCATTATGATTCCGGAGACCATGCATAACAACATGAGAAGAGCCTGCTGGATCAAGCCAGTGGCCCATCTAGTCCAGCATCCTGTTCTCGCAGTGGCCACCCAGATTCTTGTGGGAAATCCATAGGCAGAACCTGAGCACGAGAGCACTGTCTCCACCCACAGTTTCCAGCATCTGATTCAGAAGTATGACTGCCTCTGACCAAGGAGACAGAGCATAGCCATCATAGTTAGTAGCCATTGAGAGCCCTATCCTCCAATGAATATATTGTGTGGGGGCACATTTTCCACACAAAACACTGTTTTCAGACACATACTTAATGGTGTAAAAACATTTGGACTGGGGGGAGGGTCATAACCGTAATACTGTGAAGTAGATACTTGAAGTGGTTTTATATCTTACAGGTTTTTAAATACATGATTTTATAAGCTGCTATATGAAAAGTATTCTTGAGAATTGGATATAAATTTGACTGCTACAGAATACACACAATCACAGCATTTTTATTTGGAAATAATTTTATTTCACACCCACCCATAAAGATTACATTTTTTAAAAAAGAAAGATTTATCACTTTTTATCTTATTGGCTTGCTTATAGCACTGGGATCCTTGTGGTGTAGTTATGTTTCCTAAGAATTCTGCTGAAATTAGAAAATGTGTTTCACATGTTATCAGCAATTGAAACCCAGAGCAAACTTTGAAATGGTGGCCTAGAATTTGCAGCACTCAAGGTTTTTGGTGCTGAGCCTGCTTCCTGCTCTCTTATAGTACCTGTGTTTTGTACCAACAGGAGCAGCTGTTGCTGCATTAAAAAGCCCAAATTTCCTTTCTTTCTTAAAATTGCATGAGTGGACTCCTGATCACAGTACATTGGAACCCGCTTCTTGCTATCATTTTTTTGTGTGTGAGTTTCAAATCCAGCCTACAAGGCAGCAAAGAATTCATGTATTCGTTATATGGTATGGTAATAATGGGTATTGACATGACAAATAAATTAACAGGGGAGATAGCAGAATTAAAAATGGATTTTCCTCCCCCTCTCCCATGCCACCTGAGCAGAAAAGCCAGTGTGATGTCTTCAGATGATGCTGGACTGGTGAGAGCTGTAATCCAATAACATCTGGAAGATGCCATGTTAGCTACCCCTTCAAGGGGTAAGGAAGCGTCTTATATCTTATCATGTCTATTTTTGTTTCCATTTGCTACCAGGAAGCTACATTCTGTGTGGTTCTGCGGGGAGCCCGCTTGGGACAAGCTGTGCTGAGCGATGTACTTCAGGCTGGCTGCATTCCTGTTGTCATAGCTGATTCCTATATTCTGCCTTTCTCCGAAGTTCTGGACTGGAAGAGGTAGTTTCACTAGGGTCATGTGTGCTCCATTGCTGCAACTTGTTCAGATCTGGAATGGGTTTACAAAATCAACACTGAACACTCAGTTGGTAGAGCATGAGACTCTTAATCTCAGATCCCTGCATTGCATGGAATTGGATCAGATGATCTTCGTGGTCTCTTCCAACTCTACAGTTCTAAAACATTTTTTAAAACTATACTTATAGACTGAACCCCATTAATGTTTATCCAGGGCATCCATATCGTATTACATTTATATGGTGTGTGTTGAAGGGAGGGGTAGTTCCTTTAGATTTATTTTCAAATACTCCTCCATGGGCTTATCTGTTTGACTCTGTGTGAGAGGAATCCAGTTTTGGCTAATTAACTACCTGCAATTCTCACTGTTTCCCTTTTCCCTTTTCCGCATTTAGAGCTTCTGTGGTGATACCGGAAGAAAAGATATCTGAGATGTACAACATTCTGCAAAGCATACCTCAACGACAGATTGAGGAGATGCAGAGTCAGGTAGAGTATAGGCCATTTGAGTATAGGCCATGAATATTTTCCTGGGAGCCAAACCTGAATTTACCTGCCTGGCTGTTGTGGAGGTTGAGGCAAATGTAATAATGATTTGCATGTTCCCATATTTTTCTGTTTAATTAAAGGTGCTGAATATTGCATGTTGCTGAATTGTGCAAAGTACATACAATGAAGTTACTCAGATGTAATTTTATGTATTGTTCTGGATCAACACTGCATATCTGTTAAAATTAAATTGCCACCCATATCTTGCCACCTACGTGGCTGATTTGACCTGCTGAATGATTCGCTCCCAAGTAACTTTAGGATGAGGAGGATTTCAAAGTTATTTGACAAACTGGTTTGGATTTGAAGCTTTGTTCATTACATTTTATTTACCCCTAGGGCTCTAAATGATAACTTGAATTCATTGGGGCCACCAAATGTGTTGCTTAACACACAAAATGGAAGAAAATGGTACCCTCTTGTGACTAACACATTGAACTAAATTAATGTATGAGGAACTTGGTGTTAGCATGCCATATTTGCAAAATCTAGCAAATTATATATATATATATATATATGCAGGTTTTGGTGTCCTCGGGTGTCTTCCCGTGTAAAAGTTGGGGTGTCTAGGCGACGTTTCGACGAGGTCTCACTCGTCATCTTCAGGCTGGTGCTTTCGGCTTCTTGTTACTGGAACAGAGCAGGATCTCAGTGTTTGAGTTCCTATAAATACTGTTGAGGGGGTGTGGTGTATAGCCTCCAATGTTCTGGGCAGAGAGGAAGTTCCCAGGCTAGTGTGCCTTTTCTTCTTTTGTTCCTTAATTACTTGAGGGATATCTTGAGTGATTTCTTGAGTGATATTCTGAGTACCACTTAGGTGGGTCATTAGGTGTGGATTAGTTGCTAAAGCCTTCGTGTCTTGACCTCTTGAACTTTGTGAAGAGTTTTTCTGAGAAGATGGTTGTACTGCACTTAGTTGTGCTCTGGCTTGGCTTCGTGTATAGGGGCGAGCTGTGGTTTTGTGCCCTGTGCCAGCCAGATCTGTGTAGGGATTGCAGGGGGGTGCAGCATCCGGAGGTGCCACCATGGTTTGGCTACTGGATGGTGTCTGTAATTTATCTGTGGAGAGGGTCTGGGTTTGGGTCTGGTGTGGTTGATTGGTGATGGCGTTCTGTGTGCCTCTGGATCTGGTGTCGGTTTTTGTGGGGAGGGCTAATTTCCAGATGTCTGGCAGGCGGGACGTGTCGTCACGCTTGTTCATGTTGTGAGGGTGTTTCTCTATCTCGATGGCTTCCATGATTATTCTCTTGTGGTGATGTTCCATGTTAAAGAGCAATTTGGAATCTGCAAAATTAATTTTATGTCCTGTTTCTTTCATGTGTTGGAAAAGAGAGGAAGTTTTTTCTTCTTTTTTGACGGCATTCTTGTGTTCTGCGATACGTGCATTTATTCGGCAGACTTTGCAGGGTATTTCATAGACCCCTTGGTTTTCTAACTGGATTTTATCTTTGGGGTTTCTGAGGATATTGGCTATTTTTGGTTGGTGCAAAAGGCTGTTTTGATATTGTGTTTATGGAGGATTTTGCTAATTTTATCTGTAGTGCCCTTGATATAAGGAAGGAGGGCCATGCCATTGTTTTCTTCTGTGTCTTGGTTTTTGGGGGGTGTTTCTTTTTGGATTAGCTTCGTAACCCTGTTTTGCTGGTATCTGCCCAGCCACGTACATTGGACAAACAAACAGACGAATAAATGCACGTATCGCAGAACACAAGAATGCCGTCAAAAAAGAAGAAAAAACTTCCTCTCTTTTCCAACACATGAAAGAAACAGGACATAAAATTAATTTGCAGATTCCAAATTGCTCTTTAACATGGAACATCACCACAAGAGAATAATCATGGAAGCCATCGAGATAGAGAAACACCCTCACAACATGAACAAGCGTGACGACACGTCCCGCCTGCCAGACATCTGGAAATTAGCCCTCCCCACAAAAACCGACACCAGATCCAGAGGCACACAGAACGCCATCACCAATCAACCACACCAGACCCAAACCCAGACCCTCTCCACAGATAAATTACAGACACCATCCAGTAGCCAAACCATGGTGGCACCTCCGGATGCTGCACCCCCTGCAATCCCTACACAGATCTGGCTGGCACAGGGCACAAAACCACAGCTCGCCCCTATACACGAAGCCAAGCCAGAGCACAACTAAGTGCAGTACAACCATCTTCTCAGAAAAACTCTTCACAAAGTTCAAGAGGTCAAGACACGAAGGCTTTAGCAACTAATCCACACCTAATGACCCACCTAAGTGGTACTCAGAATATCACTCAAGAAATCACTCAAGATATCCCTCAAGTAATTAAGGAACAAAAGAAGAAAAGGCACACTAGCCTGGGAACTTCCTCTCTGCCCAGAACATTGGAGGCTATACACCACACCCCCTCAACAGTATTTATAGGAACTCAAACACTGAGATCCTGCTCTGTTCCAGTAACAAGAAGCCGAAAGCACCAGCCTGAAGATGACGAGTGAGACCTCGTCGAAACGTCGCCTAGACACCCCAACTTTTACACGGGAAGACACCCGAGGACACCAAAACCTGCATTCCTATACCCGTGAAAATCTACGAAAGCATATATATATATATATATATATATATATATATATATAGTTTTATTTATTAAGTTTGCATTCCACCCTTCATCTGTAGCTCTCAGGGTGGTTCACAAGATAAAAATACATAACGAAAAAAGAACAACTCCTCCCCACCCCACAAACACATTTAAAAGGACCACCTGAATGAAGTTAGTGGGTTAGTAGTGGTCTGTGGACTGCAGTTGGGAATTCCTGTGCTACAACATTTCCTATTAAATACAACACAACATTTCTCTGCAACAGAAACACATTTTATTAAACTGTGACCTGCATATACACTGTGATTCCATGCAAGTACAAATTAAATTATCCTGAGACCTCTAGCTTTGAGATTTTGTTTTCAAAAAATGTTTTTCCTTAAGGACATGAACATCTGGGCAATGCCTGGTGAAATTTCATCATTCCCAGAGATCAAGGAGTGGGGATTCAGTACTTTTTATGCATCTTTTCCCTGGTTTGACTAGAGGAAGCAGAATAAATTATGGAAAATAAGCAAATATATGCAGATTGCCTACTTTGTATAACATTGATAAGTTGCATGATGTAGATAGATCATGGAAAGTTGCTTTCTTTAGGGCGGAATTTTAGTTTTGCTCCATTAATTTTCTTGTGTGCAGATTATAGGCAAATCTATTCATAAACCTCCAGTTTGCTTTCCACCCAATATAATTACTCAAATACCTAGTATAACACAAACCATATATACATTTAAGGAGGTAGTAGACATCTATCAATGCTGTACATTACAGAATGGAAGCAGCAATGAGTTAGTGATTTTCCAATTGTATAGTCCAGATTACTGACTAAATGAGACACACAACACTCTTAAGTATATTATAGGTATTTGCACATATGTTCATATAACAAGCTACTTCAGTTTTGATTAAAATAAATAATCTACACTTAAGAAGTAAGATGAGGAAACCTTGCTCTAGGACAGAGTTGTCTAGATTATGAATGAAAGGCTATCAGTATAAAATATGACTGAGAATTGACACTTCAAAAAATACCAGTCTGAAAATATGCATATTCTGTTTTCTGAGTACACATCAGTTAAATTCCCAACACTTTCTTCACAATTATGAAGACTGGACATGGCTTTTATTTTTTTTATTTTTTAATGAGGAGTCAATCTCTTGATCCACTCTGCTGTGTGCCTCTGATAAAAAGTGTGCCTGGGGAATATAATCAGGAGCACAGAGATAGTATTGAGATACATGAAATTAAGCATATCAGAAAACTTTCATAATTAATATGAAAAGCATATTTGTGAAATACTAGGAATCTTCCTATCCAAGTCACTTGATATGAGGCAGTCCTGGAAACTCCAATATGCACTTGGATTATGTATGACGTAATTGGATTACTTGGGGCTTTGGGGGGGTGTGTGTTTCTACAGAGAGTTTTCTTGTGCTCAGCCACTTTACCAATATGACAAATGGCCAGAAGAGGTCTCTGTTCCCTTGATTCATACTGATTTTCTTAGCTTCTCACTAGGCATTCTATGTGGGCATAGAGACTCAAGTAGCCAGTTCGGTTAGGATGGAAAACACTGCCTTTTGATTTGCTACTGGGGGTCATGAAGAATGTGGCTTTGCTGTAAGAAAGTTCATAGATGTGACCTGATAACCCTAGCTATTCAGATTAGCATTATTGACTCTTTCTGTAAATGCGTGAGTGCTTGTTTCAGGAAACGTCGTAACTTCAGTCCTGTGCTCGTGGTAGATGCCGTCAATTACCATCTAAATTCCACAGTAGTAATACAAAGAGCTGCAAATACATCTCTGTACATTTGTAACTGTGTTTATAGGTACCGTAACCCTTCTTTCCTTTTCGTCTACGTAGGATGCAACATCTGGCAAAGATGTAGGGATGAAATTAGAGCCACATCTGTCAGTGTTCTGGAATTGCAGAATTGTAGAGTTGGAAGAGCTCCAATAGCTCCTCTCATCAACCCCCTCCCCCAACTCCAACTTAGGCTGCCCCAGACTTTAGAACCATTGACATAGATCTGTCTGGCTGTCTTGTGGACCCTCCAAGCAATGAGGCACCACACCTCCCATATGTAATTTAGTTTCAAACTGCTTTTTTGTTAGGAGGTTTAGGCTAAATCTACTTCATTTAAAAATAATTCCTTTTTGACCTCAAAGGGTAAACTCACTACAAGCGATTGGTTCTTACCTGTATTAATGGAGGAGCAAAATGAATGGGAGGGGGGAGCACACAGAGAACAGGAAAGAGAGTTGGAATAGCACAGAGCGAGGGAGATAGATGGGATGACACAGAGCTGTGCAGTCCTGCAATGAGGCAGACACCACTGGTTTTGGCTCTGG